GAAGCTCCCTTGCGGCAGATGCTTGGCTTTGCAGAACAGGCTTTTGACTTCCCCTCCCCCGGAGGACATCAGGGCATGAATCAACAACTCGTGGAACTCCTTTTGAGTTCATTGGAGGTGAATAGTCTAGAGTGGGCGCAGGATGAGACACCCGCCTGAAACCTTCATCTCGGTGCCCGACTCATTCAAGTCTGTCTTTCTCCGGCACACAGAGCCGCGCCACTCGCGAACCTCTCGCCGCACGAGCACTCGCCGCGTCGCCGCGAGCTCACCTCACCGCTCCGAGGATTCCTCGCTCAAGTCTTCCTCTCTCGAGCCCTCCGATGCAGATCGGCCGCAAGCGACGGAACCTCCGACGGAGCCTCCGGAGCCGACGGAAGCGCGCTCGGGTCCGACGGAAGCGAGTGCTGGGAGAGCGAGTGCTGGGAGGGCGCTGACCTGTAAAAAGCAAACTGAGATCAGGGGAGGCTTCGGTTGGAGGGTCAGGTTCATACCTTCAAAGACAAACTGAGATTTGCTTGTTGGGATGAGCGCGGACCCAGCAATCGTCTTGCCTCCTGTGCCAAGTCAGGCAGCTGTCGATGGGATCCAGTGGACTAGTTGGGAGTGCTCTGCATCCCAGGTGATTCCAAACGCAAGAAGTGGAGGAAGAGCCTTTGGGGTTGATGAATAGAATGCATTGTACATGATTAGTTGTACATGTGTATACACATGCCATCACATACCTGAAAACCATTTGACTAAAGGCTCCTTGAACCAAATTCTGGAAAACAAGATTTTGACGCTCGAGCTTGACAGAGCCTGTTGAGTCCTGATATAGGGAGAGTCCTGTTGAAAGATCCAGTGTTATGTTCAATGCCAGTTGCTCAAGGAGGACGTTGTTGTTTTGCACAATATTTGATACGACTCCGGTTCTTCAAGAGACAATCCAGCTTGTGGAGCAAGAGTTCTTCCACCATCTTTGATCCTAGTGTCAGCGAAGTGTTCTAAACACATCAATCATACAAGTTATGTGGAATTTAAACCTGTCATTGAAGGATGACACGCACGACACAGAGAACTGTAGCTTCAAGTCTTCAAGTCTTCAGTGAAAAGTCCGGAAGTCTTCCAAGTCTTCCTGTAGATTTAGTAGGAAGCTTGGAACACCTGGATTCTTTGGGACTGTCAGCTTGGGACTCAACGGACTTAGTCCAGCTGGGTGTTTTGATCGTGTTTGGACTGTTTGGATTGTTTTTCTATTTTGTAGAAAGAAACTTTCAGGTTGCAAGGGGCTGTGAAAGGTGCCTGCTTTGAACTTGAACGTGCTGTGAGGCTTTGTGTTCGATTCGGCTCGATTCGGCTCGAATGGAGACACGACGTCCAGTGCTCCAGGTTTGGATCAGTTTCTGCTCCATGCTGCGGTCGACCGTCCCCTTGGAACAACAGGTCCAGGTGGAGAAGGGTTACCTGTCACCTTTTATTTATGTTCCATGGCAAACAGGGGTTTAGATGGGTTTAGAATACCTGGATCTGGTGTTTCATCCAGGAGATGAAGATCCAGGAACCATGCCATCCCAGGTGGCGTTGGGCCGGAAGATTGTTCGATGTGTTATTTTGCGCATCCTCTTCCATGGAATCTTACCCCGTCCAGTCCAGGATCCGTTGCGAAAGGACATCCAGGTTCAGGCCCCGTTCCGACTTGGGAACTCACGAAGTACGGAGGTCCCTGGACCCTATTGGGTCCAACAGAGGTTGAAGAACCCTATATATAGACTATCCCATAGGTACCCCAGTAGGTCCTATAAGGTCACTTAACCTCTCTTGGGTATGTCCCTGACACTTCTTCAGCTTCCCGCGGACCCTCCGTCCGAGACACGTGGCACCCATGGAGACACGTCCTGAGCGGACGCGCACCGAACGAGCGATGGACCTGCATGGTGTGGTGAAGCCCTTCAGGCCGAACGTGGCCCGCTCGTGGTCAATCGCTTCGGCTCCGGGGGTTGTGGTCTTGAGTTGCCCGCTCGTGGTCTAATAGTGAGCGCTAACCTCTAACTTTGACTTAGCTAAGTAGACTTAGCTCGGACTTAGCTTGGACTTAGCTAAGCACTAATAGTACTTAGCTCTTTCAGATTCTGAAAAACCAGATTCTGAACATCTGGATTTTGATCGAACTCGCTCAGGGAGTCAGCGAGTTTTTATTTGTGCTAGTCCCCGTGCAGATTGCCTCTAAAAATCCAACCCAGGTTGTCTTAAAGAACAAAAGCAGTATTACGTATATAGACGACTCGAGCCCGGGTAATTATATGGTTTCTTTCGTATTGTTACCTGTTTTGAAGGCAGGTTCGCTGTGCATGTTGTGCATTGATTCTGTAGGGGCTTTTCTTCCAACGTGTTCGATTCTAGTTACCTCTGTGCACGCTGAAGTCTTTGCACTTTTGGTTTTAGGGTCTCCTGGTATAGAATCAAACATGTTGTGGTGGAATATCGAATAGGATGACAGGACCAATGTCTTCGGTTTATTTACGTCATTTTAGGTCTATTTCATCCTGTTACAAGTCTTTCATTCAGAACCTACACTTGTGTAGACTAAGACTAGAGGTGCGTCGGGGGGGTGTTTTCTTCACCTCGCAGGTGAGGGTCTCTTGATTGCATGTATACTCCCTTGCGCTCCAGCACCAGTGTCTAACTTGGTTATCTTGTGAGGGTGTGGGACAGGAGCCCTAGGCCCTACGCATTGCCTTTGTTTTGGCCATTGCCTCGCATCAGCATCCTTCAGTTCGTGCATCGTGCAAAGTACCCCATCCCGAGTTCCAAGCACCGTGGACCCCCTAACAGACGCAAAACAGCAGCAGCCAAAAAGGGCAGGCTTAGAGGAAGAACCTACAAATACTGTGCTTGTTTTTCCTAGGACACCCCTTAGGGGTGCGTGTCTTGGTCCTCAGGTGGTGCGTCACCTTCGCTGATCTCCAATTCTTCCAGTCGGAGGTCCATAGAGCTATGCAAAGTGGCAAGTTCTTGGAGAACAGCAAATCCTCTTCGCGTGGGCCAAGCATCTATTCAGTGAACGAACATTACATCAAGCCAGTGACAGCCGCTGCTGGGAAAATGAGCTGGGCTTTAATGATGAATCCTGAAGGGCTTGACTGCGACTTGTTTATCACTCATGCCTGGCAGGAAGATGCTTTTGAGTTTACTGAAAAGGTTCTGACTTCTTGGCCTTGGCGTGCACGTCACGCATGGTGCTGTATGCTTGCAATTCCACAGAACTTGGATATTGGTTCTTTACTTCAGTCTCCATCATCGTCTCCATTTGCACTTGCCCTGCAAGATGCCAAATACATGCTGGTGGTGCCTAACCGGCATAAGAGTGTTTACACAAGGTTGTGGTGCGGATATGAAGCCTATTTGGCCTTCCAAAGCAATAAGATTATTCGCACTGCTGTGCCCTCCATTTGGCCGCAAGTGTTGCTTGCCTGGCTCAGGATGTTTCCTGCACTACTGGCAGGCATCATCATTGGCATTGTTTCGCGATTTGGTGGGTTCGAAAGCGCGCTGCGGGAGTGGATTGTGATGATGAGGATGTGTGCGCTGCTCGCAAGCCTGGTGAGTCAAAACTGTGGTCAGATCAGGCTTTGTTTGATCGCGAACCATGTGGGGCTGGCGACTGGTGCTGCGGCTGTCATTGGAGGCACACACCCACATGACTTCTTGCCGCTGAGTCCCGAAAACAGTGCCAAGCAAGCTGCAACCTATAAGTACATGAGGGCCAGCTTCCTTGGATATTTTCTGCTTGCTGAAGTTGACCGGGTGAACTGGCAAACAGAGAAGCGCCAAGCAGAAGAATTACAACATCACTTTCAAGGGTCAATCCGCCATGCATCATGCTCAGAAGTCCAAGATGAGATCAACATTCGAGATGAAATCGGTGACCAAGTTGATGAAGTGGACAAAGTAATTCAAGTTCTGCTGAAGGCTGGACTGACGTCGGATGCACTTCGAGATGCATATTTGCGGGGAGTTGAGCTTGAGCATGCTGGGGTTGTTCAGGTGGCAATCCCTGCTATTGTTCTTGGTCCTCATTTGTTCCTGAGTTTCTCGCACCTGCTCCGTTGCATTGTTATGTTCTCCTCACATCATGCTGAAGTCCACTGGTCTCAAATCCATTGGTTCCTTACATCCTTGCAAGCATCATCAATATTTGCGAGATGTTGTTTTTTGACTCTCCTATTCACTCGTCCCATAGACGAACGATGCTTCATGCTCAACGCAATGGCAAAGATTGTGGCTCCCATTTTATTCTGTTTTTTCCTGGAAAGCCAAGTTGTGTATTGTTTTCTGCTGAGCTTGTATCACCTGTCCTTCCTTGTGGTACTGTTCTTTGCTGCTTTGGGCATTCGTGGTACATTGAAGTTACCATGTGGCAGATTCTTGGTCAGCACTGGGCAACATTTTTTCATCCACTCTGATGCAAATTCCATGCCCCCGCCCCTGCCATACCTGGACGCTGGACCAGAAAACGGGACGACTGGACCCTTTTTAGGTACCTGTTTTTCGGGTCCAGGTAGAGGTGGCTTGGACCCTCAAGTCAGTTCCCTTTTCTGAATGGGACATGACACTCTCTTTTGGGACCTATTTTTTCGAGGCGCAAAGGGCTGGTACTTAGACATGGTACCACACAAGACCGGTATAATGGTAATTGTTGGGGGTGTCCTATTACCTGTAACAGTCGGTAAACAATTATCACTATTTTAGAGAAGGCCTTTACTAACCATCATCATCCACTGTTACACGGAACAATCTTATAAGTACTATATGTATACACAGCGCATTGGAGTTTCGTCCAAAGCAACGGCTTTAGTTAATTTCTTCCAAACAGAATCCCGAGATGTCGACGGAGACGCGATGTCTTGGCCGCGAAGCCCGTTTCGCTCTACGAAACCCGACTTGCTGGAACTCCATGTGAACCTTTTTGCATGCACTACAAGTAGTGACCTTCACCAACTGGGATATCAAGTTCAGGCCATGAAGAACCAGGAAGCATTTTGTAACGCGTCGAGTTTGGGAACTTGGTCTCGGCAGGTGTTGTTCGTGTGGACCCTGGGAGGTCTGGCCTCCTTCTTCAGTTTTTATCCCTACCGGTCAAAAAAAACAGCTTAACTGGAGTGGATCATCCAACAACACTGCTCAATGAGGTTCTCAGGACCAGGTTTTCCTTAAAAAATGGACATGACAATTTGTGTTTGAGCCAGATCCGCTTCGTTCTTTCTTTCTTCCTTTCTTTATGTTTTTCTTTCTTTATTTCTTCCTTCATGTCTTTCTTTCTTTATTTTGTTATTTCTTTCTTTCTTTCTTGGGCCCTGTAAGGTATGAATCTCTCCCTTCAAGCCCAACAGAGTGAACGTATTTGCGGCCAGGTCCACAGTTGGTCAGTTGACCAGTCGTCCAGATCTGGAAGAGTTACCCTATCCCTCCTATCCTTCCAGATCCAGTTGGATCCAGATCCAGCCTCGTCCTGAAAACCTCCAGGTCGTCGTGTAAGAGCAGTGTCTTTGTCTGACATAACTCCAGCAAAAGGAGGTCTTCCAGCTGTAGGGTATTGTAGGAATAGCCCATTTGGATGACCCCAATGTAAATGCTCCAACCAGTGTGTCTTGTCATTTACCTCGAAGACCAAATAAGAGGTGGTTTTGCCAGAGAGGATTCTTCACCCCGTCTGAGGATTCTTCACCCAAGTCTTCTTATCCAGAGTCCTCAGCTGTCGATTGGCGACTTCCTCGCCGGACGAGTCTGACGACATCGCCGATGAGAAGAGCCTGACGACTTCGTGCTCGTCCCGGTCGGAAGGCTTTGGTTCGTCCAGCAGCTGAAAAGGGCGGCGGCTTCCCATTTGGCGGTGGCTTCCCATGAACCTGACACTCCATGGATAGAACAATTGCCGACATTGGGTTGATTTGGGACAGGGTCAATATTAATCATGTTTGGCTCATGTTTGGATCTTTCTGGGCGTTCAGAGAGATGCTAGCTAGTCTGGATCATCCGTTACGCGGGTCACCAGACTGCCCAGCCCACTGTCAACTGGAGCTCCACCCGAATGCCGAATCTTGTTACGCATGTTTACCTTGAATCTTGTTTACCTACCCTATGGATCCACTGCCACCTTCTCAGGTTCGGCACGACTGGGCCCTCCTGGCGCCTACAAAAATCGTCTGCAATCACCTAACCTCAGGTTCGGTTTGTAGATCCATAGCCCTAGGGCTCCAGTCGTACCTCCTCAGGAGGTATTTGGACCATCTAAACTCACCCTAAACACCTTCTTAGAAGGTACTTGGAGCGCTAGGGTAGTGTAGCGTAGGGTAGGGCTCCAGTCGTACCTTCTTCAACGACCCGAAGGTCGGTCAACAGGCCAGTCATGGCCCAGTCCGGCCTGACGCGCGTTCCGCAGGAGGTGCTGTGGACACGCCGCGGTGCGGCGGGCGCCGCCACAGCGGGTGAGGAACCGTGGATGCGGAAAAGAGCCTGGTCGCTGTTCGTCACAGAGCTCAATGGTCATGGGAGAAGACGACAGGAGGGTGTGGGATCACACTGAACCGGCCACTTCTTCGTGGGACTACAACGAACCATGTTGATTGGACTACTACTGAATTCAAGATGCTCAGAAACCAAGTGCGAGTATTACGGTTAGTTAGTGTGGTCGTCTCTGGGAAGAAGAAACTGTTGTTCCATGTTGTTCCTGGACCCTTTTCAGCGGCACTGAACCACATATTATATACCAGGACCCTTCAACAGGTCTCCGAAATGGTGGCTTGTCTTGGAGACTTTTGAAAAGTCGCAGGTGGTGACCTGATCTTGTCGGGTGCTGGTATCGGAGTTTCAATTCCAGTTCCCTGAGAGTCAAAGATTATGCAAAGAATGGTCTTGATGGGATCTCTTGATGGGATCTGAAATGGAATGTCCTTTACTTCACTGAGGGAAAGTATAGTCTTTGGACTTCCAGGGAGTTCTCTCATCGAACAACTGTTTGGACGGTCCACCATCTCCGAAAGCCCAGCAACAGGACACGGCCCACCTCCGCGCGTCTTTTTAGGCTTGTCGTCCGATCTCCGATCTCCTGGTCTATGCTCAGTGTTAAGATCCTCCTGGCCATTTCCTCTCTAAAATGAGGGGCTTGTGCCCCCAAATCAGCGCAGTTTTAGGTAAGAAACTGTTTACTGTAACATCTAATAAGATTATCGTGTTTTTGGTATGACTTAACTCGAGGAAAATGAGATCTTCAACCTGTAGGGTCCTTGCGCCTGTAGGGTCCTGTAGGATCGATCGGCGGTCCGTCCCTGGCTATCCGCCTCAACGAGACCTTCTGTGCCATTTTCTTTGTAACCCTACAAGTCCCGTCTGACCCAGTAAAACCTGGCCTTTTAGCTCCTTAAGTATTGGTTTTGTATGACCATCTCCAGTAAAATTAGGTCTGAGTCTAAGTTGAATTCTTGGGTTGGTTGTTGATGGGTGTGTAGCTCAACTAGGCAGAATAATAAGGACGATAGACCTGTCTACCCACCGGCCCATTGGTTTGGAGGTCTCTCTTTTCAATCAATGCACACCCATATTGGGCTCTCCCTCTCTCTCTCTCTCTCTTTTGGTCTCTGCCTCTCTACAAGATATACTGTCCTTGTGTTTGTCCCATTGCCTGTAACAGTCAGTAAACAATTATCAAGCCTTTACTAACCTGCCATCATCATCCACTGTTACTGGCAATAGCATAGAGCCAAACTGTACCTTTCTAGCTGATCTCCCATGCATCAATTCCAGCTTGGGATTTGGAGGCTTTCTCCAGCCCAGCGCATGCAATTCTCCAGCTATCGGAGCCGTTATAGCTCAGAGCTACAAAAACGGCCATGGCGCTGTCGCGAAGGCGGGGCCGAGCGCGGCGGATTTCATGCGAGCATGGCATTGACCGGTGCTTGGTGCAGTTTCTCCCTGGGAATCCCTGGCGTGGAATGAATAGTTATATAAGCTTTAATGCATTTCACGCAGATTCAATGCATCTACAATATGCGTAGTTGGGCTTAGTACTTAGGTTCACTTCCGTTTGCTATAGCTTACGGCCGTCGGATGCCAGTTGTCCAGTAAGTAACGTTGTAATGTACCCTCTCAGAAGTATCTGCCAGTGATCCAGTCGTACCGAACCTCAGGTTCGGTGATGTGTTCGACACTCTCATGTAGGTGCCAAAGCATCGGGTCCAGTCGTACCGGTACGATCCCTAGGGAAGGGCTGTCCATCAACCAGCGTAGGGGTCCCCATGCGTTTCAGAAGCAACGCTCCTTTCCTCCATGTTTGAGCTGAACAAAAACGTACAAGAACCCATTGGTGCCAGGGAATGTTGGACATTAAGAAGGATTGGAGTTCCCATACCCGGGCAGTTTGATGCAGTTCCATCAAGTTGAGAGCCCCTGTCACATCCACTCATGACTGGATGGGTCAATGAAAGCATCCCGACATGCAACTCCTGGTGTATGGAAATTAAACCAATCTCATTCAGTCATCTTCATCCCATTGACCGTGTATCTTCATCCCTTTACTTCCGAGTGGAACCCACGTGACTGGCCTTCCGCTCAGTGGCTATGGTGGCCTTGGTAGTGGGGACCCTGAGCATGGCCGGTGGCAGTGCAGACAGGGTTTTCCCGACCAGATCGTTCCACCCTAAGAATTCCGGGCCCGAACCAACATAATCCCTAGGGCTCCAACCACCTTCTCAGAAGGTAGTTAGACCCCTCAAACCCACCCCAATCAACCACCTTCTCAGGAGGTAGTTGGAGCTGTAGGGAATATAGGCTTTGCGAACCCGGGTCCGTTTTCCTGCGTGTGAAACGGTGTCGAGCCCGAGCTCGGAGTCTGAATGGGCAAACATCCATGGTACTTGGTTGGTTTGTACCATGAACAAAGGGGCGTACCATACCCCTAGGCTTCCTGGCCCATTAATTTGATTGGCTTTATACTGAATCAACTAAGGAGTTTACACTACAAACACCAGGTCAACCAGTTCTTTAAATGGTCTTGGAAGTCTAGGGTACGTACCTATCAATAGCCTCTTAGAGGTTAAGGGGTGCTGGTTGTTGTTTGTTTTTTGGTGGAATCTTTGGTGGAATCACCTGACCACTTAATCCCCATCCCACAAGTGGGCACCTTCGACTCAACATGACTTCTTGAAAGCCTCGAAGGAGCACCAGAAGTCCATGTTGACCTGTTTGTGGACCATAGAGCTTTGAGAGAACACCGTGAACACCTACAGATTCATCAATCGCACCTACCATATACCCTAGAATCAGTTGCTGTCCTACCATCACGTGGAACGGCCTGGAACGAAGTCGGCGAACTGAACCGTTTGTCCCAACTCCACCAACCGGTGCAAACCAATCGCTTTCCCTCACTGAGACTGAGGACCGACAGGACGAACATCGGTTTGGATCACCCGGTGAAGCAAACCTTCACCCGCTCCTCTTCGGGTGCGACCGATTCGCGGAGTGACGCGCACGACCACCGACCCTCGAGTCTCCGCACGTCGTCTCCCGTCTCCTCCCAGTCCGTCGACGAGGACGGACGTCGCCCGCCCGACCCAAGCGAGTTCCATACCCGATCTCAGGCGGAATGAAAAGCATGCGGCATGCCTGCCCGAAAAATCCGGCCAACTGCTTCGCCGAATTCCAAAGAAACACGTTGAAGACCCCTGTAAGAAGTGCACTGAAGAACTACCTGGAGTCGACCTGTTCATACTTCAGAAAATGGATATAGATCTACCTGCTTTTAGAGGGGCATGTCATGTTGTCCCATTTTCTAAGGCACTTGAAGTCGGGTCCAGGTACTTGTCCAAAAGAATCCAAATGAATAATGAGTCCTCCGCATGAGCTGCATGAGCTTCTGGCATGCTTCTCCACCTCCGAATTCTATATAATATAGGTCAACACTGAAAAAGCAGCCACTACCAGGTCCGACACACAGAGGTGTCTATAAATAGCCTCAAAAAGAGGTGAGGAACGGGTTGTCCAAAAGCACCTGAAAGGGTCCTGGTAGAGTTCAGTTTGACACTTGGCATGCCACCTCCCAATTTTCTAGGGCCCTTACTAAGAGAGCTTAAGTGACCTTATAGGACCTCACTGGGTACTTGTGGCATAGTCGAACTATGGTCGTTACCACTGAAAAGCAGCCTGGTCCAAACGAGGCCTCGGATCGACCTCACGAAGTGGAGGAGCGCCTTCGGCGAGCGTCCGCGCGGCCGCCGCGCGTTCCGCGCGGAGCGCGGCGCGCCCAATGCACCGCCCGGCCGCCAGACGAAGCATTTCCATGTTGGAATGGTTTTTGTCGACGTGTCGACGTCCCATCCACAGGCCACCCGGATGTGATGAAGAACAAACGGGGCACCCCGACTGACTTCCTCCGTTCCGGAACGGCAAACCGAGAAGAAGGACCGCACATTTGACATCATTTGACCATACCAGCACCACGGAAAGGCTCGTTGATGGACACCCCTGACTATGTGTTTACCATGTAAAAACTACCCCTTCCGTGCTGCTGGTAGTTGACCTTTTTATACCTTTTTATTGATCTTAAGAATAGTAACTTGTTTGCACATATAGTATGGGAGACTTTTGGATCGCTGGCTCTGCAAAACAGGTGACCTCAAGGTGTCGTGTCGAAGAAGGGCCTTCCGAACACCGAATCCTTCTCGAACACCAAACCAGCGGATCCAACCACTCAGACGGAGGGGATGGGATCCCGCAGGGACCCATCCTTCGGCCCTTCGGGTGCGACCGATTCTTCTGGCTGTTCGTTCTCCAGAGTCATGGCACGACCGATTCTTCGCGCGACCGAAGGCATGAGTGGAGGTAGTACGGTGCCCCAGTGATGCAGTGATTGTGGACCTGTCGGTGGAGTTGGTGTGATTTTCCAGTGGTGACCGGGCTTTCTTTGCATCATGAACGGTTACCAACCCTTTTGATGACCACGCTTACTGAAACCATGTTGTTCTTCATTGAGCATGTCATCATGACATATGAGTCTATGAGTGTGAGTCTTCGTTCACCTTACCCTGGATGGAAGGTACCTGAACCGCATGAACCTGAATAACATGTTGGACCACCAAACGCCCCTTTCCCATCAAAAACAGAGGTCATGTCTGGGTTCGAATTCTATGAAGATACGATGTTTTGAGTCACCCTCCTTTCTCCGTTGCAGCCGCTTGCAACGACTTACACGGTTTTAACGCACACACAGCCAGCACCACACACAGGCTCGAGGTAAATCGACGGCTTCGAAAAGTCTGAGTCTCCATACTCAGACCATCACTGGAACCCAAGCACTCCATGGGACTAGCTTATAATATATCCATTGCATAGTTTCAGGGGTGAATATAAATATGCCATACATGGCGTTTGGGGAATAGTTACATGGACATAAATGTACCATCATTTATCTCATCTATACATAACCCCTATTCCAGTCCCATGTAGTGTTTGGAATAGTATATAGCCAGACCATTTTATATATTTATCACATGGCCAATACACGGCCACACAGTGGGGTGGTTGAAAGGTGACCTATAGACAGTCCTATAGACAAAAGATGTGAAACGTCACATGGTCCAAGACCTAAAGACACAAAAAAGCACCGCCAGCTTCGGCGGGAAGGGCGATCCTCCACCTGGGACTCCCTGAGCCCACCGCGGGGTGCGCGCGCGAATCGCCCAGTTTTATCTCGTGGCGGCCAGCGAGGAGCTCAGAATTCGCCTTCAGCTGGGTGGTATTTTTGCTGCGGCAAACTCCATGCGTTTGTTGCGTTCGAGGTGTTTGAAGTTTTATACATGGAGGTCAAGAGAACGGGTTTAACGTTGAACAACGTTCCTATACCATCCTATATTTTGGCCCCCTGTTTGGGGTGTCTAACAACTCCTTAGAGGTGAGGAACGGGACACTCCATGAACCACCCCCTCCTTTCAGAGGCCACCCTTCCCCCCGCATGGCTGTTGCTGGGCTGTTGAGAAACGGGAGGATTTGGTGGGATCAGCACATCCATCGCTGTTTTCGGGATCCTCCGGAGGATTTGCTGCGCACCTGCATTGTTGTCCAAGTCCCTCATTTGGGTAAATTTCATTTTGTAGCAATTGGAGGGCTTTTGATGGTCAAGGTGGTTTGATGGACGGCTTTTTGTTCAGGGAACTCATGGCTATGCCACTGTTGGAGACTCAACTTGTGGCATCAGCAAAGACATGTCTTAACAGAACAAGGCTGAACTCAACAATTGATTTGCCTGGTTTGGCTTAAGGTGCTTGTGATATTCCCGAACTGGCTAAATTCTTTATGGTGAATATCTTGTTTGCGCGGTTCCTAATTTGGTAGCTTCCTCCAAACATTTCACGAAATCCATTCTCTTCGTAGTGCTTCGACCGGTGGCTGAAAACAGCGAGGCTGCCCAAGCTTTCTCCCCACCCCCAGAAGGCCGCCCTGCTAGAAGCGCTTCTTAAGCGGCGCAAGAAGCGGCAAAAAGCCGGCCCTACTTCTAATACCAGCAGTTCCCGTTCAACAGGGTGCCGAACTTGGAGGAAGTGGGGGTGCACCTGTCACATCCACTCACATCCGGGGAAAAAACCATTCCGACTTGGCACTGGAGTCGAGTTCCCCTTTTCACCGCATGGATCTCAGCCAGGTCGGGCCGGAAAAAGTTGGACACCCGACAAGGCTTGGATGACGAGCAAAAGGAAGAGATCCGAGAGGCTTGGATGACCCGATCGCGTAGGTGCCGCAGGTGTCGTGTGAAGAGCCCGCACGAGTTGGTGCGTTTGATGCTTCCGGCACAAGAAGCAGCGTCGTGCGTTTCTGGGGGTGATTCTGGTGCGAAGAGACATGAAAAGCGCGAGGAGAGGAGCAGAATTAAGTATGATGTTTGAGGAGAGGTGGGACTGGTAAAGGATTGAGAATGAGATCTTGCACATCTTCTCAGATGAGTTTTGATTGTTTGATTCACTTCACCAAAACAACATCCCACTTCACGCCCCGGGTCACCGGGTTCGGCCCGGTTCGCGACCGGTTTCGACGGTTCGATGTCAAACGCTTCAGCGAGGCCTTTAGCCTCTTCGACACCGAGCGTTCGGGCGCCATTGATGCCAGAGAGCTGAAGGCGACCGCGCTCGACGCGACCGGCGCAAGGAGTCGGTCGGACGACCGGTTGGAGGTGGAGAAAGCAGGCGAGTCTGATAAGCAGCTTTCAGATGTGGGTATGCGAAAGAAGACGGTGTTTCCTATGGGACCAACCAACTGTAGGTTTGGAACCATGAATTGTCCATCAAAACGTGGACAATGTATCGCAGAGCTCTGAAGGCTTTTGGTAGGTCACCAGTGGTTCCAGCGAGAGGAGACGAGAACAGAAACCTGGATGCAAAGAGTACAGAGGGCTGTGATACGTAGCGATTTCGAGAGGCCCGTTTGGTTCTCCAACGAGGCACTTGAAGAAATCCTAACGATTCAGTGGCAGCAGATAGTAATGGACAATGTCCTGTACTACTGCAGGTAAGTGGGTGAATCAGATCTTTTTGCGGGTGGAGTCACGGAATCAGAAAGTGCTTGAGTCTAGACTGTTGCTTGAGTCGAACAGCCAAATAGGCACCTTGGGTGCAAGACGTTTGAAGTATCATTATTTGGAGCAAACCACAATTTCATGTTAAGCGAATGCCTCAAGATTGCAAAATAGTGTCAGAGGAGGACCATACTGTAGGTGTGGTATGCGTGATAGTAATTACTATGCAGCTGGGCAGCAAAAGCAGTGGAAGTAGGTGGCCTGTACTGTAGTTGGTCGTTTGCAAATTCATGGGACCGTTGTTTCTTTGTGTTGTTCACTTGCTTGCTGTTTGGGGACTACTGGACGGGGAATGCGCCCCACTGTCGCCACTGTCGCAACCACGGTCCTGGCCATGACGTTCTGAGTGTTTGCAGTGAAGACACATCATGTGGGTGAGATATCTCCTCACTGACTGATAGGGGTTGAGCCTTGTTATAGAACATTATAAATTTTTATGGATATGGATAGAATATCAACAAAAGTACACTAAAGCACATCGGCTTTGATTGGCTTGAAGGTGACACCGTCACTATATATATATATATTACCCTTGGGCTCCAACCATATCCTCAGAAGGTGGTTGGACCCCCTGGGCGCCCACCCTAATCAATTAACCGTCTTCGATACGAAGGTTGGCCAGGAGCCCTACTGTTTTAACACTCAACATGTTCTTTGTTTGGCTACTCAACAGCAGTTCCAATGCCGGACAGGCCAAGGCTCTGCATCCATCGCGTGATCCAGCCATTTGTTCGACGCGTGACACACGCGCGCGTCGAAAATCCATCGCATCCGTCCATCTTCCATTCCAGGCTGCTTTGAGAGCGTTGGGATTTGAAGTGAAGAAGGAAGATGCCAGCGCCTCAGATCAGTTGAGACCTCAACGATTGACGAAGGTTGTTTTGAATTGTGCTGCTGCAGAAGAGAGCTCCGGCTGGATGTGGCTCAACGTGCTCTCAGATGCTCACAATCATAAAGGTTATGTATTTTTGAAATACAATCCTTCAGAAACTAATGGAAGATAAGCAGACCCCACCCGAGGACAAGGCTCTTTCAGGGGCCTATTTACCACTTCCCGGATGGTTTCAGGGAGTATCGATTCCAAAAAGTGAAACATGTCACACGTTTGCAACTCCATATTTTTTTTTGTGTTTTTTGGTTTTGGGGGAGAGGTCCCTTGATCCTTTGATCGCGATCAAAACGAGGAGACCTTGACCATGTGAACTCCAAGGTTTTGAGCGGCAACTCGCTTCACACTCACTGAACTGGCCTGATTCCGCCAGTGAGGTTAGGAAGATGTTGGCTGACATTGGCAAGGAGCAGAGCTGAACTGTCCGGGTGCGTTTGATGCATGTTTGGGAAGCTACACACCGGGTCAGCTACAAAGCTTTGGCCCCAGAATTTGGACCCTCCGAGTAATGCAACGGATTTGATTGCGGGTGGAGAAGAGTGAGAAGGGTGAGAAGGGTTCGAGTCTGCCGTACATACCCAGAGAATGCCGGGAAACAGTTACATACACGAACCCCATGAAAATGCCCCTAATGAATGAAACTACCTGGACGCGCTTACCACTACCTGGGACGTTTGACCCGGTTCCCGTCACCTGTGGTAAGGCTGGACTGGTCAACCTCCAGGTCTTCGAAGATTCGGGTCCACTCTCCGGGCCTGGAGAGGTTGAACAGCCCCATAGCCCATCCCATATGTACCACTACAGGGTCCTAGTTCAGGTCTCTCAACCTTTCCTGGGGTCTTACAGTCCCATGCAGATGGGAAAAGGGGGGACAAGGGACCCTCATTGAACTCCCAGAGACCCAGGTGGAATAGATCCGACCGACCGATGGCGGTGTTTTCTGGTTCAAAGCGAAGCTGTGGAGCAAAGGAAGCGATCACGATGAGATCCTTTTGAGGTTGAGCAGGGTCGTTTCAAGGAGTTTGACCATCCTGTCGAGGTGTCTAGACGGTCTATAGCCCCTTAAATGTGATTCGGAGTGTCCATCTACCACCCCGACTCGGGGTTCTTGGTAGAGTGTTTTTTATCTTTCTTCTTCAGACTGGAAGCTGGGGTCCAAGTCCCTTTCAGAGGCTTTGAACAGGGGCAGTAGATAATGTACAAGAAGCCTTCCCTCTTAAACAACTCGCAAAAAGGGTGGGTTCAACATCGTCCAAACTCGACTCCAGGTATGTCAAATCACCGGACCTACAGTTGTTTACACTTAAGACCGACTTTTCAGGGCCCTTGCAGTGTTGGAGACGGTCTAGGGCCATAGCTGTTCAGCTGATAGGTCTTCATCCGGGGTCATTTGGCTGTTCTAGTCATCTATCCTATCTTGGTCTCCATTGGATATGGATACTCATTGGATACCGCGCCAGAGTTAGAGGTGTCCCCAGTTGATCGCCTCGTGGCAGGTACCTCAGTCGTGATCTCTCGCTTCCGGCTCGGCAGGATCCAAGCCAGCCCATCAACTTCGATGAGTTCTGTGAGATGATGAAAGGAAGGCCAGGTGGATCTGCAACATTTCTCACGGCGCTGCAAAAAGGGGGACCTGGGAGAACACCTGGAGTTTCTCCTCGGAACATGGGTACAAGTACAAGATAAAGATAGTTGGAGGCTGCATGTTATTTGGAGGGTGATGTCCCATTGTCCACAGTACTTGGGAGAAATCCGTGGCAGTTGGTCTTCAGTGCGCTCCTGTTACATCCGAAGCTTCGAGTCCCACCTTCGAGGGCTCTGGTTGGAGCCGGGCTCGACCTCTGGTGTGGATGGGAAAACCAGTCGCACCATGTCCCCAACGTCTCGAACGGCTCTCTTAAGGCCTTGCCACATCCTGGATCCTGACTGGTCCCATCCACCCCAGTCCCACCTTCGACTGGAGGCCTAGGGAATGTCGTTGGCATTGGTTCGCCAGGAGGTCTTGCGGGCCTGTAGCTTCTTTTCGAGAATCTCTACCAAAATGATATATACTTGGTTTAGGGCCGGTGTGGAATCCCCCCACGGTCTGGGTTAAGAGTTCGTGTTGTTGACCGGTGGCTGCCCTTCTTTTCGGGGTGAGGGTCGGATTTTCTTTCAAAACATTTTTTGAGGATGCTCCAAAGTGAAGAAGACGCGGGGAACCTCTTCCAAAGTATATCCTTTGCTCCGAAAAGAAGCCTAGTACCTGAACCTCAAGCAGAGATTTGTTCATCATATCTGCCCCATAGGCCCATAGTGTCGAACACATCCTTAGGTCGATCGACACATCTTCCTGGCCGGGTCCAGTCGTACCTTCGTCTCGAAGCTGGCTGTGGATCTTTTCGGGGACTGCTAGTCAGAGACCCAGGATGCCCGACAAGAACTCAAGAGCGGAGATCGACAAGGCAGATTCGGGGGGAGGCGGAGGCGGGGAGTTCGGAAGTACTGGCCCTAGGGATCCAAGTACCTTCTCAGAAGATGATTGGAGACTACTATTTATGTAGGCTTGGAGGGCCCAGTCGTACCTTCTGAGAAGGTGGCAGTGGATCCTTAGGGTGGGTCAGGGGGTCTTGTACTGTTCAAGTGGACCAGAATGAAGGATGAAAACAGCGGATGGACTCTAGACAGACTATCCAGCTTGTTGACAGACAGGTATAACTGTATAACCTTCGAAGGAGTGCTGCTCTTAGGACAAGTTCACTGGATGGGACTCAAAACCCTTCGATATTTGCTGGTCTATCTACCAGCTTCCAAACGGGTCACCTGACTGGAGGTTCCCATACCCAGACCTCCAGTCCAGACCTCACAGGTCTTCGCGTTGTTCGACGAGGATGACAAGGGCAAGATCTCGTTCCGGAACCTCAAGCGCATTGCCCAGGACGTTGGTCCGGGCGGGGGACCTGGGAAAGCAGGTATACCACGAGCTGTGAATGAACAAGGCTTGGGGAGAGGTTGGGAGCTGCCAAGTTGCTTGGCAGGATCATGGCACAGATATGTCTATATATGTCTAGTGTATGCAAACATGGAAGCAAGAAGGGGGGGGGTTATATATATAGTGTTACGATTCGAAGATCATTCACCAGCATCAGTCTCACTGGAACCCCCCCCCTCGATGCTTCTCTTGATGCTCTATGGCTCGCCGTGAGGAGTTGGGCGAGAGCCTCACAGATGAAGAACTCCAAGAGATGATCGAAGAGGACCAGTACCGGGGTATATGCGGTGTGTAGCTTAGGACGTGGGTACACCCAGACATGACGATCCATGGGACTGTCCATAGGACTGCCGGCCCCATTGACCCCCCAAACCACCACCCCAACTGATCGGCAGTCCTATGGCAGTCCCATGGAGTGTCTGGGACATGTACAGGACACACGTGGACTCAATGTTCTGGTGTCGAGACATGTGGTTTGGAGACCTACTGCCGGCACGGACCAAAATACGCGTCTATAGCGGCTAAAGGTTAGGTTTGGGGAAGGTTGGAAGAGGCACAGGTGGTTGGAAGAGATGTTTTTGGGAGGGCGATCGCCATGGACGGACCGGGGACCGGCGGACCGGCGGACGATCGACCGCGGAGGCGGACCGGGACGGCGATGGCCTCATCAATCCGGACGAGTTCTATCGGGTCATGCGGAAGCCACTGGGTCGCACCAGCGAAGAGTGGGCGCGGTGCGGAGGCGGACGACGCGCGAGCCAAGCAAACACCCGGACTGGCCTCCGTTTTCGTACCGAACCGCTTCGGTTCGGTAGGACGACCGGGGCCCGGGTGCCATGTTCGGGTCCAAGTACCTTTCTGAGGAGGTACGACTGGAGGCCTATAGGGATAAGGACAGTTGGCATTCGAAGCGTAGCATCAGATGACCACCCAGTTCCAAGACCCTTGAAGTGTTAGGGAGCGAACATGGAGCATCTAAGCTGAGATGGCTGAAGTTCACCTATAGTTATAGGTCTTGAAAAGGTCACTTGGGAGTCATGAACATACCTAATATGTACAATGGACTAGATCTTCCAACTATTGCCAACTTATAAATGAGCCAGGTAAAAACCAGGCCTGAATTTGGCATCGGCAGGGGATCCACTGCCACCTTCGAACAAGGACTCTGAACCGACCAGGTGAAATACTGGACATGACGAGCAACCCTCCTGGCGCCCATGTAAAAGCTCCCATCAGAATCACCCTCTCAGAGGGTAGGGACCGGACAGTAATTATGAGACTTTAGATGATTGGTAGGGCGGGGTAACGGACAGGCAGATAAGATAGGGAACAGTTCGAATACAGACATGGTGCATTTGCCAGTGGATGCGTTGTTTGTGCATAGAAATTGGCGGGTTTCAGGTTTCAATTGAATCTGATGGTTTCCACTTCCCTTTACACATTGCAAACGTGATTTTTGTTACAACTGTTTCTTTTTACTGTCAACATGACCCCACTCAAATGAGTGCACAATCCAAAACCCTCCCGGGCTGTTTTGCTCATCCCTTTCTTTGGCCACTCGCTTTGCTTTGCCATTTACCCCAAATGCCTCCAAGATCCTCCAAGTACCTCCTCAGGTTCGGTATGACTGGACCCTCCTGGCACCCGGGCCCCCATGACCCGGTCATTGCGGGTTTGCCTTTTGAAGGGTGCGTATCGCTGCGTGGAACGGGCGCGCCTGACTCCCATGACGAGGCGGGGGACGAATCCACTGGATGACTGGGACAGTGATGAAGATTGACCACCAGGCGGCGGTTTGGGGCGGAGGCGTTGAGGAGGCGTCGAAGTCGATAGACTCAAGACTCTAGGCGTCGAACTCTGAGGGTATATATGCAATTGGTGCTGGGAAGGATGGGAAGGCACGTTTTTCACTGGAGAATGGGATGATGGGTGGACCACTGGACTAAGCTAGGCTATCTTTGAAATACAGCGTCGAACTTGTTTTGGTTCGGCGTCGAACTCGGTTCGGCGTTGAAAGTGAGGGTATGCAATGCTGCTGGGATACCGTTGGACGGCTCTTGGAATTCTGAGCTGTGCTATGTGGCGAACTCCTCTCGACTTCCCGACAGCAACTTGCGAATCGTTGGAACGCGCCTCACAGCCCTTCCACAGGTGGGGGTACTGGAGATAAAAGTGAGAAGGTAACAAGTGAGAGAGAGCTACAATACACATTCCCACCAAAAACGAGATCACTCCCGTGTTTAAATGCACATGAAGTAATTAGACTCGCAACAAGCACCAAATTTACATCGATCTAATTATGCTCTGCCAGACCGAAGGACGGTGGCACAAAAAGGCTAAGAGGACGTTTGGTACGAACAAGGCGCTTCACCTGTCTTTGGAAGACTTGCCTTTGATCGAAAGAATATTCTTGAAGACTGTCTTCCGGATCAAACCTGCTGTAACCACAACAGGTAAGTGAACAGCAACTGCATGGCCTTTCCGGTGGCTTGCTTCCATGCTCAGACCAGCAGATCAGCAAGACCGGCTGCCATCTTGCAGGTGGCCGCCACTATGTCTGACTCTACTCCAAGCTCAAAGCCCTGGCTATTGCAAGCCCTCTTTGCAGAGGCAGATGCTGCAGGCTTCTGCTGGACCTTGCCATTGAAGAAGCTGGATTCTGCTTTACTTTCACATCTGGCTTATGCCATGCCTTACCTGCTCTTTGGCCAAAGCTTTGGCAGCTGCAGCAGCAGCCAACATGTTATTCATGTGGTTTGTGGACTTGCTCTGTTCCAAGGGCATGACCTTGATCGCATCAATTCCGCTCGGACTTTTGCGTTGCTCCCCATCCCAGCCCAAACTGCAGTGTTTGTAAAAGGTATCGAGGCAAAGATGTCCAAGATGCCCTCTTTCACTCCACATCAGCTTCAGACATTGGAAGCAAACTACCTCAAACCCGCAAACACAACACACCACTAGTTGAGAAAGCTAGCAGCAGTGCGAGGACTTCCCCTATGCCAACCCAGTGAAACTGACCCACTCCCATTGGACAGTTGGCACCTCAGCTTGGCTTTCTTTGACAGAGTAAAGGAAGAACGTCAGGAAGCAGAACAGATGGACTTCAGCCTCAACATCCTGGTAATCAGCTGGTTCCACTCTGCCTCAATAGCGGTCATCAACATAATTAATTACCCTTCATCCCAGGCCGAAGAAGACTGAGGTATGGCATTTGACATCGTGACATCGCTCCTGACTGCGCCGAAGCTGTTCGGAATGTTGTCCGAAGATTTAGGCGAGTCTCTTGCTGAAGAGGCCTCACATTTTCTGGCCGCCACGAGAAAAGCTAGAAAGCGGCAAACATGAGACGCTCCAGCATGGTATTGCAGCCGTTTGGCAAGCTTGCTTCCCGATGCCATGCCCGGACTAAGCACGGTGCTGGCGTCACAGCGAAGATGAGTAAGCTCGAGGGAGATTCTGCTCAAGGAGCGGGCACACTAGCCATTGGCGCAGACAGACTCGCGCGTGGGCGACCATCCACAGGAGAGATCTTGTCAGCTTGTTTCGATGTTGGCTAGCTGGCTAGCTCAGTAACTTGCGCTAACTCCTGGGATCAACCAGTCGACTGACCAGACGCATGGTATGAAGACATGGACAGATTGGATCCATGGGATTGTCTTTTTAGACATGCTGAGACGCACAGTGCATCTGGAAGGAGACGCACAGAGCCAGGAACCTTGCGGATGGACCGAATATTGCAGCCTCCATCTGGAAGATATGTTGCTGTTGGTGGTGCAGTCGCAAGAGGTGTTTGAGGACTACAGAGCCGTGTTGAAGACCAAGGATGTGTGTTGAGAGAAGTCGAAGCATCTACGGGTCCTAAAGTTGACGGCATCAAGGGTCTCATCAGGCGCAAAAACGCATCTTTTTGATCAAGATACGCCTCTGTGATGTCAAGTGCCCACCATTCCTGAAACTGCTCACCAGACCCAAGGTCTCATTCACTAGCCTGGGCTCAAGACTGGAAACTGTAAGAGCTGTCCTTGTGTCGTGTCATCAGGCATCAGTAGCTACCAGTATCCTAAGCGACGGTCTTTCAGAGGCCAAGATGAAGAAGATGTATTATATTGAATTATAGGCCCGGCAGTAGGCAGCAATAGCATGCAATAGCAACCAAGCCCACTCTTAGCGTTGCTTGGATTGTCTCCTGGTTTCCATGTCGTTGCCAGAATACAGTCGAAAGATACAGCCTCGTTATAGCCTCGTTATAACGTTGAGTATCTTGAAACGATGACAGAGCTGGCTGAGCCTTGGAGAAATCAAGGAGACAAGTAATTTTCAGATGCTCATTTAGAGAAGCTGAGGGCAAGGTGCTTGTAATAGTACAGACAGTTTCTTGTTGGAATTGCTATCAGAACTCGCTGACGACAAACGCAGTTACGAGAACAAGCCTTTTTTTCGAAGCTGGCTGGAATTTTGCAGAGCCAAAATCGTGGCTAAACGATTAACCCCTTCTGCAAGTGTTGGAAAGGGGGGGGTGTATGATGAACTGTATGAGGGTTTATTTTAGCATTGAATTGGTATTGTTAATCTACTGTATAAGTTCCATTGAGGTGATGGCCCACAAGCAGCAGACCTAACAAAATCCGGTCACGTAACCAAGTTGTTCTCTTGAGTATCACAGTCTCACGCCATGCCATGTCCAACGGGAGATATCGACCTTTTTATGACTCTCAGGGTGGTCTCAGAGTGTCATCTCGTTAGGGTGGCCCCAGATCCCCAGAGCCACTGAGCGGTGGCACTGAAAGAATCACGCTTCCGTATGGCAGATCGCCCCGAACGGAAGATGCCAGTCAGCTGGAAGTCCGGCAACGACCAATATGGTTATAAAGAAAATTAACGCTCTGGTTTTGTAGTGTAAAATCCTATAAGATAAAACAACAGGTTGTTCAGGATTCAGACTGTTCAATAAATGCTAGGCCACGAGCAATCGAACCCGGTTGTTCGCCCAGCGCGGCAATCCCTTTCGGCCGCGATGGCGCACTTCCATCGCGCTTTGCCAGGCATCGGGGAGATGTTCATGGCGAGACACAGCGAAAGAGCTGTGTTGCACAAAAGAAAAAAACACAGGTCGCGGTCATCGGGTTTGGCGGTGTGTGCATCGTGCGGGACAGGATTCCGAACATGTAGATCGCCCACGTTCATGCTGAACTTCTGCATGTTCATCCATCAAACTAAGCCGTCTCGGCAGAAATGGTTATCGTTGGAAGACCGCTTCGGTCTCCGAACGGCTGACTCGGTTCCCCGCTGGAAAAACCGATCGAAATCGATCTGCTGTTGGTCCGTTGGTGGATCTTGGGTAGGTGACATGATCGATCATCCCAGGAGCATCCCCCCAAAACTGGCACTACACCTCCGTTTTCGTACCTCCTCAAGTACGGTATGACTGGCAACATGGCACCCGGCACCCCAGTCCCACCTTCTCAGAAGGTACAACTGGTGGCCAAACGGGTGGAGGATGGTGGAGGAATCCAAAACCGCCAAGGAAGGTTGAGAGACCTCAAGAGACCTCAGTATCCGTAGGCCTATGAGGTTCCAGTCCTACCTACCTCCGTTTCGGTGCGGTGGGACTGGGGTGGGTGCCAGGGGGGTCTAAGCACCGAACCTGACGATAAGGCATGGAGCCCTAGGGTATATACGAATGTGTTTTTATTTTGACGGCTTCACATCCGTCAGCACTTTTGGAGATATGAGCCACTAGTACTGGAGAGAAATGTTGCATGAACAAACTGCCATGTTGGGGTCCTGCTTGGAGATTCCTGGGGTCCTGGTGGGCTCTAGCAATATCCTGGCATCGCTAGCAGGTTGATGCACAGCTTTGGTTGTCAAGCCTTGGTGTCACACTGCGGCAAGGTTCCTTTTTCAGGGTCAGGGGCTTTTATAGCCAACAGTCTTAGCCAAAAGGGAACTATAGAGTGATGTGCATGACACTTGGCCAAAACTGACTGGCACGTGTTGTTCCGAAGCAGAAAGGGGAATCAGTCAAAATGTTGGACACATTATTGACTGTATCATCGTGTTCATAGTACTTACGAGGGAAAGGATCCAACCAAATGTCTACTGAGTGCTCATTTCCCTCATTCAAGATATTCAACCCTGCAATGATAATTATCGACTGTTCAATTTTTTCACCGCAATCAAGGCCTCTCATCAAAGGGACTTAGGCAGTTGGTAAGTTTCACTGAGGTTTGCAGCTCGCCATACACGATGGCTCAGGGGTCGTAGGATATGAACCTGCGAAGAGTCCCCATGCAGATTCAAGTCACGGCGGAAGACTTGGACCATATCCAATCGCCGTTCCACATCGTTACCCCAAAGATGTTCCACTCACTTCAATTGCAAGTGCTGTATAAGTGATAAATGTTTAGCCATTCCGGACACCATGGTTGTTGACACGTGTGAATAGAGAGATGCTGCAAAGATTGCCTGCTTGGCAACACATCGACCCGTATCCATTGGGACAGAGGGGTCTCTCGGACTCATTTGGAATCCAAAATACACCATATAAAGTTATATAGTCCCTATAGGGATCCACTGCAACCTTCTGAGAAAGTATGACTGGACCCTCCTGGCACCAACCTAAAAGTGCCTCCAATCACCCTGCCAGAGGCCAGCCACCCAGTCCCACTCTCGAAAGGACAAGGAAAAGCGGAACCACGGGCCGATCTTTCCACCACATCCTTCGGCAGAAACCGCGCGTGATTTTCGCGCTTCCTGTCGCACGAATCATCCAAGCGAATCATCCAACCCCCATGTCCATCCTCGCATCCACCCGGTGCCGCATCTTCCACGAAGAACCTTCCCGCGGTGCGCCATCGCCATGCGCGGAAGCCAAAGCGGCGAACCTGTGGTTCGGGGAGTATGATGGGTACAGCAAGTGAAATACTAGCCTCTAAGATGTTTAAACTGAGTGGTTGGCATGGTGTTTCTTCTATTTCTTCTTGGCACCGGCCTTCTTCTTGTCTTATTTGTTTGTGTTCATGTCACATGTCCGAGCCGCTCATGTCACATGTCCGTGAGACTTTGATTCATGTTCCGTTTCCCGAGTGTTCGCTGGTCGGAGTTCTTCCCAGTTCCAAGTTGGATGGGTTGGGGGGGCCAGGGCCCAGCCAGTGAAGGGATGTGACGTTTGGGCGTCCCAAGTCCTTCCTCCATGGAGTCCGCACCTCAACATGGAACTGCTGATTGGAAGATCTTGCCCTAGCTAGGGCTCCGAACGTCCTATCTCCTCAGGTGACCGGTGGGCACAGGGCCCTAGTCTCACCCTAGCCCTAGTCCCACCAAACCAAAGACGGAGATACTGGTAGGACTGGAGCATGTTGGAGCGCTAAATGTTGGAAGACTTGAGAGGTTATTTCCAGCATCCGAGCTGTTGAAAGGCTTGGGTCACATGTGTGCATGGATCATTCAGCATATGTGCGTTTCTTGTTGCAAGAATTGGGTCAGATCCTGGCCCAAATCTCACAGGTCCAAGTCATGTGTTGCTTTTTTTGGAGGGAAACAAATCTCGTCGAACGGAATCGCCTTGTTTGCAAGGCCTTTTGATTTGTTCTGGAACTTCAAGTGGTGACAGTGGTGACTTCTGTTCCGCTAGGGCCTAGGGCCTTTCCCTCAAGCCTCCACATACCTGTCAAAACCCGATATGAAGTATCCCTACAGTGCTTCCAGTCAGGGTGTCCTGTGTATGGAGACCTACAGTGGTACCTATACAGTATATATATATACATGATTTTGACTCTATACATTATAAGGTGTCGGCGTATCGGGTGGTTTAGGCCGTCACGTTGCATGGCGTCTGGTCGAGTTGCTTCGGGTGCCGGGCGTCGGGTCCCCTCGGAGACGTCACGGTCATGTCGGCCGACTGGCGCGCCTAAGGGCTGAAGAATTCCGAGGAAATCCCAGCCGGAGCATAGGCTGGGGGTGATTCATCTCTGTGCATTCATTCTGGTCATGGAGATCCTGGGTGATGGTTTCAGATGTTTTGTTTTCTAACTTTGGATTTTTCAAGCGAGTTGAAACCATCAACCAGGATCAATCGGGTGTATTTAGTAGGGAGGCCCCCTGGCCGCTGGCCCACACCAGGAACCGAGTGATGTGATTCAATATCATGATGTTCCGCACAATGCTCCGGTGTTGCCACCGAGTGATTTGCTTCAAACATTAGGTTTTTTGTGCAAAAAATGGGGAAAAGGGGGTCACAGATCTTTATATAGACACCTTCACCCAGCGGCATTCCGATGTTGGGAGGAGGACGGGGGATCTTGCTTCGATCGCCAGCGATGTTTATCGATGGGTAGAAGGAAGATGATGTTGTGGGCAAATGCTCCAGACGGGTTATCGGGTACCTCAGAATCCTTGGACCCTTCCTGGCAGGGGTCGGACCTTCTCCACCTTCTTCGCAGGGGGAAAACGGGCCCTAACCAAGCCCTATTAGGTTGCTTGCTCGGGGCCCGGACTATAAGTGCATCCATCCTCTCGATGAAGGAGCTGCTTGTGGGATTTGGCTACTGGATCGATAGATCTGTGGCGATCCGTGACTCCAAAAAACAAACACCTGGACCCTCCAAAGTACCTTAGAAAATGGGACATGAACCTATAAAAACAGGTACTTGTACCCATTTTCTGAAGTACTTTGAGACTCCAGGCATATTCCTGCTTCATTACTCCAAGGGACTTGGGAAGCTTTCTCACCGTGAGACATGGGACCTGGGACCTGTGTTCGTTCCAGTCATATATACGTCTGTTTTCGAGCTTTACATGGGATTATTGATCCCGGCCACTGAAAAAGAACAACATGAGTTGAAGCCACCAACCCACGCGGTGCTTCATTTCGTGACCAAACACGTGCATCTCGGCCTCTTACTTCAGCCTTGAAAGCCTCGATCATTAGGGTGAATCTTTTGGGGGCGCAAGTTGGATCATGAACTGAAGAAGATGGCCAAGCGACAGCAGCTTCCAAAAGCGACAGCAGCTCCGTCGTTTCGGTCGTTTGGCACGGTGCAGCCGCGCAGCCCGGATCCACCTCCACGGCCCAGCACCCAACTCTATGTGACCCCTGCATGGTTTTGCTTATAAGATATCTTGCTTCAGATGATTGTTCTATAGTTTTCCCCAACTGGATGAATCCCCAAACCTGGGGAATACTTCAGGCAGACAAAAGTTTACGCTTGTTAGCCTTCTTACAAAACACTCTGAGGTCAGCGGCGGATCGAATTAACAAGTCTAATTTTTGTGGCAGGTGTGGGACGGTCAATTATCACACCGTTTTAAATTTATAATAATAAAAGGCTTTCCGGGGTGACAAATGACCGCCCACACCTTCCCTTGTCTCATGGTGTAGGATTCTAGGGGGATAGGGTTGTCATGAGTTTCAACATCAACAAGCGCAACTTTCTTCTGGCCAGTGTATGTTTTATTGTATGTATGTTTTTCCAGGTTCCTTAAGCAAATCCAAGCCTGGAGACTTGACTTTCTCGATCTCGTGGTTGGCGAGTCATGGCGAGTCATTTGACCATCGACCTGCAGAACATCACTGTTTGTGGATGTTTGCGTGCATGTTTGCATCCTGGACATACAGTACAGTACGTCCATCTGTTGTTGTACGTCATCTCTTTGGCGGCACTGCAGCGGTTGAAGGGGTAGTAGCCGGACTGCTGTTGCCATTTGCTGTGTTTCAGAATGCAACAGGCATATATGCAGGATATGGGGAGGGGAAACAAAAACTCTGGAGGTGAAGGACCATTTGTATTTGGTCATCCTTGCCATCCGTCAAAACTTCAATACCAGGCAATATCAGCATCCCTTTCCTGGCGTGGCCCATACTCAGCTTTTTGATTCTTCCACAAATCCAGGCCGCTCATGCTCCGCTTCAACTCTCTCTCTGGAATGCCCTTGGAATCCAGGGTCTCTTCTGCCTGTGCCGAGCTACCCCACCACGCTCCAGCTCTTCCATGGGGGGCCGAGCTACGCCGACTGTTCCACGGAACGCGCAGGTGCCATGTTTGCCTGGCTGGTGGGCTTCGAGGAATGCATCGTTTGCCATCGGGACCGCGAGCGTCGGAGGGCCCAGGAGACGTGGGAGTAGGAGGTGCTAGGTGTTGGCTTCACGTCGACATGGGGCGGTTGGAAGTACGACCCGACTGACCCAGTAAGTACCTTAGAAGATGGGACATGACCCTATAAACACAGGTACTTGTACGAGGCTTAAGTGACCTCAAACCAGGTTATCAAAAGGTCACTTTGAAGAACCAGGTATATACCCATGTTCTGAAGTACGAACAGGTCGACTCCAGGTACCTAGACACCCGGCTTCGTTTGTAACTTGGACAATGGGACAGGACCCGAAGTCTAGAAACAGGTACGACGGAATTGATCTTCCGAGGTACAAACTGAGACTCCCGGTAGACATGGCCCATGGATTTACACTCACTGGAACTAACATGGAACTGGACAATGGCCCCTTCTAAGACCAATTGCTGAATATGGAGGGTGGCCTCCAGGGAGAGTGGTAAATGAGCACCTTGTCTTATAGACTTTCCTGTGTGTTTGGAGATCCATCATTTGTGTACTTCCAGCCAGGTGACCCCAATTTCAAAAGGTGCTGGTCTGCTCAGATAGCAGATCTCTATACCTGGAGTCGACCTGTTCGTACCAAGGAGAAAGGCTTTACAGGTGTACCTGTACCTGTTTCTTTAGGGTAATCTCCCACTTTCAAAGGTGCTTGAAGTTGGGTCCAGGCACATGGGTGTTGGGGTGGAGGATCCACTCAGCAGCTCACATGGGTTTTGGATGGTTTTGGTAGGGAAACATCAGATCCTCCAAAACCTATTGCAACCAGGAAAGACTTGTTGGGGGATGTTGTTATAGTTAAAGTTACACTATGATATACTCATGCAATCTCTTGAATGTTGCATATGGTGATGGAACGGTTGTGGAAATGGTGACACTAACGAGAGTGGGTACTGGTGGTGGTGGCAATGCGAGTGGTCATGGAGGATGTGAAGTTTTGCAATGAGGTTGTACCAAGTTCTACCTCGCAGACAAAATCGGACTACCCAGAGGGTCGAGGGGGTCTGCATTGCAGAGTCCAGGACTGTGCATTGAGCAACCCGGGGGCCATTGAGGTCCACAGGACGACCCATGGGCCTTCAAGTTCAAAGCCTTGAGGGCCCGGCTTGGGATCAAGCTATATATCATGACATAAGACCTGCATGATTTAAGAACTTAAAGGTCATGCAACATGCAAGTGCACTATGGGAAATTGTACTTCACTTGATGTGCACGGAATTTGCTCATGCTTGGTGGACCTTACCAAAGAACTACCCACCACATCCCATCACCAATTGTGCTCCACTTGCCGCATGGCAGAGCTTTTTGCTGCGCGCATGCATCTGCAACTTCTTGGATGCCTCGCGGATCTTTTCGAGGCGAATGTGGATGGGATGTCATGGGATGGTGGTCAAAGAAGCATATGCGTGCACGTGACATGATCCTTCAACATTGCGCATAAACTTAACTAAAACTGGTGGAAACCATTGGAATCCAATGGAAAAACGTGAGACATGCTGACTGCATGCGTTTGGCCGGCCTCCACATGCCTCCATGAGTTGCAGCTTTTTTGTAGTGACCCGCACCGCTTACCTTGGAAGCGCGGCCATGTCGCAATTGATTGGGAAGGAGGATCTTGCTCTTGGCATCTTTGCCTGCATACATGTGCTGTTGCATGTGCAGCTAAACATGGTATGTGTATCTGACCTATTTAGAGCTAAGGAATCATCAAGGTTCACATACCTGCAGAGGCATTTGCACATTGTGCACAAGGGACAACACACACACATTGTTTGACGACCTCAAAGATGCACGGAATGTGAAAATGGATGACCTTGAGCAGTATCTTGAGCTGGTGCTGAAGATGTACGAGCTGTCGCCAGAAGGAGTGCCAGAAGGCACATGTGCACGTGTGTGTTTATTGGTTATGAGCATTCATGCATTTGTGGGAGTTATAAAAGGAAACAGGTGCACACACACACACACTTAACCTTTTGCTCGAAGGAGAACATTCCATTGCCTTCCTAGCCAACGTCTTTGCCAAATTGGATGCCGAAGCTGAGTTTAATCTGAGCAATAGGAAGACCAAGAAAGACAGAAACCGATGGTATCTCGATGAGGCCCTTTTCCTCATCGTACATGTTGTTTTGTGTGTTGGGATTGTTTGGATGTACTGCATGTGCATGTGCATAGTCTGGAAGGCGTACTCTTTGTATGGGTTGCTGTCCTTCGCAAGACGATACTGGAGGAAAGCATGTTCTCGTGGCACCCGGGGAGAGGCTCATGTTGTATTTGTGTTTTCTTGGGGTCATGCTTATGCAATCTTGTGTGTAAGCTGTGGCAAGCTTGTCTGCACACATGAGTGATTTTGGCAGGTGGCCAGTAGACTTAAGCAGGTCATGAAGAAAAATCTTCGCAAAGCTAGACCTCGCAAACCGAACACTGACTCTGGTGTGCCAACGGTGGCAGTGGAGCTTCCTGATGAGAATGATGATTTGGAGGTGGTGTATGTGTACCACCCCATTGGTGACATGCTTTCATAGTCACCTGAGCGAACCACAGCGAGGATTGCAAGAGACACCCTAAACAAACATGTATAAAAGCATGACATGCCTTTCGGCCCAGGTATTGTGCTGGCAGTTGACACCATCAATGAGGATGAGGTGGTCTTCAGTGGCCCAGCCAAACGGCCCGTTCAACCTTGCAAGATTGAGGAAGCGCAGTCGGATCTTCAAGGAGACACCTTTCCTGACACGCAGGTTGATGCTCCTGAGGCTTCAGCAGGAGCAATCGTGCCCCGCCATGGTCCTGCAGAGATCTGGGATGACTCACAAGCCCAGGAATTGCCACCTCTGGAATCAGAAGAGTCACAAGCCATGGCATGTGACATTGGCAGTGATGAAGAACACTCCATGGTCACCTCCTTTGGCGGCCTTTCTCTTGATCCGGATGTGATCACAATTGGTGGCTCTGCTATTTTTGGAGTTCTGGCTGAAGCCACCAAGGCCCGACAGCCTGAAGCTGCCAAGCTGCCAGAGGTGGTGGAAGTGGTGGAAGTGGATGCCAGCCAAGAATCTTTGGAGAATGGTGCCCATGATGGTGAGGGTCCTTCTGATGCTGCAGGCTCCGATGCACATCCTTCTACCATGTTGAAGGACAATCCCTTTAACCACGCAATTGTAAAAAACAAGTGTACTATAGCATGGATGTGGGTCACCTGTTTTTGAACTCCCCATTCATTTGCACACTCGCTGCAGGACCATGTGCCAACGGAAATCATTGCTCCACCCGAGGACCCTTAGCTTTTGATCAGCAGATTGATTCAAGTAATTGCACGACATGTCAATCTGTGTTGCTTCCAACACTGCATTCTGTGACTGCGTATCGATGATACAATCTCTGCCCAGGATCCTCCTGATTTCACTGATGGTCACCCTGAGGGCAAGGATGACAAAGTAGCACGTGGCAATGGTGATCATCTTGATTCCGCTGGTGGTCAGGCTGCGGGCAAGGGTGACAAAGTAGCAGGTGGCAATGATGGTTTGGAGTTCATGGAGCAGATTGAACAGGAAGTGCGTGCAGCCGAGCCTCCCCGTTTTGCAGATCAGGGCAAACCAAAAGGGAGGAAAAAGAAGTCTGACAAAGCAGGGGATGAGCGTGAGAAATCTGCCAAGTCAAAGGATGCCAAAGCAGTCAATCAGCCTGGCCGACCCAGCAAGTCGAAGTCCAAGATGGGCAAGAAAAACTACAAGAAGAAGCGACAGTCCAAGAAGGCCCAAAGAAGCCAGGCAGCCGCTGAGCATTGGGAGGGCACTTGGGATGACACTTGGGAAGACAATGCTTGGGAGTCTTGGGAGGACATTTGGGATGATGAGCAATGGTGCCCAACGAGTTCAGGCCCTTCAGCTTCCAGCCGTGCTCCCAAGGCCAAGTCTGCGAAGGGCAAGGCTAGGGCTGCAAAGCCCAAAGCTGCAGCAAAGCGCAAAGCTACAGCAAAGTGCAAAGCTGCAGCAAAGCGCAAAGCTGCAGCCCCCAAATCTCGTGCCAAACGTGCGAAGAAGGGAGATGAAGTGGTGCTGCCAAACGCTGTGGAGCCAGTGGAGCCAATCGATGATGATGAACCTGGCCCTGCTCTACCCCCATACGTTGCAGGATTGGCAAAGCCACCAACCTGGGTAAAAGCAGGAAATGTGTACAGCAATTCGTACCGCCGGTTGAAATCAGCTGGACTTGACTTGGAAGAGGTCAGGAACCGCGCACGTGAAGTGACTGGTTTGTTCCGTACAACCGGAAAGGTTCCTGAGGAACTGCTGACATCATTTAATCGAGGGGACAGGTGGGTTCGGGCCCATGCCGGCCATCCAGTGGCACCTCCTCCCAATCGCAATAGATTTTATGTGAACAATGATCCAAACATGGCTCCCTTGATTGAGGAGGCCATGGAATAGGTAGGTGAGTGTGGAATAATTTGCAAAGCCACCCACTTTCCCTGCACAAGGATGCAGGCATGTTGGGCTAGAGCTTTCTTTGATGAGTTCATCCATCGATCCATGTTAGCTTTCTTTGTCGCTCATTGCCTCCCACCACTTTGCATTGATAAACCTGTGTGTGCACATGTATACTATATGTTTGTTTGCAACGGTTTCTGTGGGATGGCAGGTCATTGTGTGTTCATTGCCGGGGAAGGCTTCAACGCGCAAGTGCAAAAGAACAATATTGCATGCATGCAGGCATGCCTTTTACCCATGCAACAAAGTGTGTCCGCGGCATGTCTTCTGCTTCTATCGAGATTAGTGTATATTTGCAATATATATATATAGCTCGTTTGCAATGTGCCCAAAGTCAAGCTGCATGTGGTGCAACTTCACATGTCCAATGCAAACTGAGCTGCATGAGAATCTGCCAGCCGCTTTCCCACCAGCTTTTCCACAAAAGGGATCTGAGCGAGTGATGGCGAAAACGAAGATGAGTGCACGGAGCCTCGACGGTCTAAAGAGAGAGGGGTTGT